AATAATAATAATAACACACGCGCACGCATTTTAAACTTTGTAAACAAAGCTTTTGCCGTAATAAAACAAAAAATATCAATCTAGAAACCAATGAGTGTATTAATTTACTTCGCTACAGACGTATATACATATTATTACATACGCTATTCATTGCTAGGCGGCTAAAAAGTGTTAAAGACAATCTCCACATCACATAAATCTGAAGAATACCATTTAAAATCGACTAAGTATGTTTCCTCAAGCTGATATTTAGATAAAGAGACAACACGCTGCATGATGTTTTGTTGCTGTTTGGCTAACTTCAGCTAACGTAAACAAGGACTTGAGTGAACGAGAGCTAATTATTTACAGCTAACAGATTAGGCATAAAGTTTATGGTGTTATCAGTCAATTTTGTTAGTAGAGACACTTCTGTGAGTGRCTGACAAATACTACCTCGGTAAGTACACAGAGTTTGTTGACAATGACTGAACTGCAAAGATGCTAAACTAGCCTGAGCTGAATAATCTGACATCCCATTTAGTGCAGAAGTTAGCTACATTAGCATGCTCGGCTAACACAGCACTCAATCCTCTGAGACATCTCACCCCGTTTTTCTTCTGCGCCATTTTATCCATCTTCTTCGCGATTCTGATAATCTCCTCTTCCTCCTTCTTGCCCATTTTGACAGATTTAATGGAACTGAAAAAATAATGTGCAAACGAAAAAGGAAAATTGGCGACAAAAGACCACGCCACTAAGGAGAAATCGGCGGCGACGGCGGCGTCAACTTGGCGGACCGGGGACCGCACTGTCCGCTGTGTAGCAGACCCGACGAGTCGATGCCCGCATCTTCGAGGAAAGGTAATCGATGCAAACCCCCATGATCACTTTAGCAAATCTTCTTTTATAATCTCACTCTATATCTAACTATAAAAATACTACTTAGATTAATACGCTTGATAATTTATGCAGAAACAGAGTTCCTTTTGGAAACATGAAAACTTAATTTTTAGCACTTCAGCTTTCTGTCGTTAGATAGCGCCAGACAACAGTTTTCAGCAAGTCTGTTAAATAATGAATTATTTAACTGGGTTTGTCCTTTTTAAAGGTAAGTGAACTTTTTTTTTACATTCATTATAAAAAAAACTAATCGGTTGTTTTATTATTAATAGATGCACTTACATATCAAACTAAAATTATGCAATATAATTTTTTTTTACCAATTTCCGATTATCAAAGAGCCAAAAAGTTATTTAACAACGTTTTTTTCTTACAATAGGACTGTATAAAGGACTTTAGTATGAAAACCTGGTGTTGTGATGTTTTCAGCTTACTGCTAAAACAGATGTAWGACATTTATAAAACAACACTGGTAAAAGTGTTACCTGAGTGAATGTAAGCATGGCGCTCTAGGAAAGTCGTACATTATTCTTGAATTTTCTTCTAGTAAAAGCTAAGGCATTGCATTTTGTAATGAAAAGCCAGTCTATATGGAACTTGTTTAAAGAGTTTGATGCATGCTGTAACTGCAAATTTAACCTGCAGCGAGTTTCAGGAACCCGTGGTGGTCTTTCTGAATTTTTCTACGTCCTAAAATCCTGTTAATTCAACATGCAACAGGTTCAGCACTGATTATTTA